ATTATATTGCATTACAGATTATATATTAATGGTAGATTTTCACTAATAGAAGCTTACAGTAGAGGAACCAGGTTTTAATATAAAAGGGAACACCGCAATATATGTATCCTTTGTACGGAAGCCCATGCTTTAATATAATCTATCAAAATTCACCAGTATGATTTATAATAGTTTGAAAAATACTTGAAACAAAACTACAGTTTCTTGCACATTGTCTATATTTATGTTATGTAGACACAATTTGTAGCTCACTACTAAAGCAGGGTCAAGGTGGTTTTTCAGATTCAGTCTCCTATTTGTGGAGATATTTTGGTAAAATATGCTGGTAACACTAAATCGAAAGCAGCCCCTCAAGACGTTAAATGATTTTTTTTTTAACTGAATGGTCTAAAAAAATTACTTATATGCCATTTCTATAGCAGAGATAAAAGTATGGTTTAAAAAGAGACGCCTGAAATGAGAACCAGAAGGCAGAAATGATGAGCTGCATTAATAATTTCTAAACCTGTCTCACATTAACTGATCAAACCCATGTTAACTAGCACACTGTTTAGTTTAAATTGAAAATCCAGTCGTAATTTTTCAGGAACTGAAGCACTGTCTCATAGCCCAGTTTAGGCCAGTCCATATTCAATATTTCTATTTCAGCATTTAATTTCAAAAATTGTATTGGTGTGCTTTCCAATTTGGGTAGACCAAGACCAGATATTAAAAGTAAGACATAATAATATGTTTAACTTACCTTGTAGGGTCTTTACCCTAAAGTATAAAGTGCCCTCAGGTGACCTTTGTTGTGCTTTGGTGCTATATAAATAAAATTGAATTGAACTTCAAGGCGATAGAGCACTATTTATTTCTCCTTCATTAGATAAACTGTCATTATCTTCATTTGTAGTGAATGGGCAAAGACAGTAGTTGGCAGTAGAGTGCAAAAAAGTTCTTGGGTGCAGTGACTGTCCAAAAGCAGTAGGGGCAGTAGAGAGCAAAAAGTACTTGGGTGCAGTGACTATCCACAACCATAAGGGGCAGAAGGGCAGTAGAGAGCAAAAAGGCTCAGGAGCAGTGATTTTTCATAACCACTAGTAGCCAGTAGAGAGCAAAAGTGTGTGTATGAAAAGAATAGCAGTGTGTATAGAAGTGTGTATTTTTCTCGTATTTCTATCTTTCTGAGGACCTCGCTCAAACTTTGAGAGAAGCATAAAAATGGCCTCTAGAAGCCATTACAGTGAAAAACAAGTGAGGACCATATTAAATGTCCTCACTTTCCCAAAAGGTCCTCACTCGTAAGGTCTAAAACCCGCGATGGTCCTCGCAAGTATAGCAGAACAAGCACACACACACACACACACACACACACACACACACAGACACACACACACACACACACACACACACACACACACACACACACACACACACGCACACACACGCACGCACACACACACAAACACACACACACACAAACACACACACACGCAGACACACACACGCACACACACAGACACACACACGCACACGCAGACACACACACACACACAGACACGCGCACACACACACACACACACACACGCACGCACACACACACACACACACGCACGCACACACACACAGTTCTTGGTTGATCAAAGCCGTGGCTGGAATGTCACGACTGCCTTTGGAATATATTCTGTTTGTTGATCCATGTGAAAAGTTACCAGCTGACTTCGGTTCAGCAGTTTTGCTAATTATTTTTCATACTTGATCTGTGTTTGATATGAACGCTGACTGAGGAACCAATGAGCTCTTACCATGTTGAGGCCCTCGGTGCCCGTCCGTCTGTCCTCCTACAGGACCGGTGAGACTTCAGTCTAACTCAGCTTCAGTGATCACCTTGGTTGTCTTCAGTCAAACTGTGACCAAGGTCAACTTCATATTTTGTTTCAGTTTTACAAGAACTGCTAGTCCTCCTACAGTATTGGTCAAATTCGAGTGAAACACGTGCACACAGTGATCACCTCGTGGTTCTTCACTCACTCTGTGCTCATGGATATCTGGAGAAGCACTACATTGCTAATTTTCTAATATCGAAGCTGCTAAACTGCAGCAAACACTAAATCTCTGTATCACTGACATGTAACTGTGTGTGTGATGGTAAGTCTGTTGTGACAAACTGTCCGTGCAGCTCTGGTAGGTCAGAGATCATCCACTCAAAGGCTGATTTTCCAGTTCCATCATTTAAACTATGAAATGTTGTATTGTTGCCTTTAGATGGGACAAACCTCATCAGCCTTCTTGTATGCAAACGAATGGAGATTCTAATGTGTGCTTCATTTTGATAAACCAAATGAAATTATATGTTATCTTTTTCTGTTTGCTTTTACTTCATGGTCCACACTTATTAATTACACTTCTTAAAAGTAACTGCGTGGTTACACTCTTCTTTTGTTTGTAATAATCTGATCTTATTTTTCTTGTGGTTTGCCACCATGTGGCAGTTTTAGTAAATGTTTGGTGAGATGTAACAAAGGCAGATTAATAGTTTCTGGAAAAGGGGAAATATTTGCCCACTTGTCTGTTGGAAACACTTAAACGTGTCCTGGAGTTCTTCTCCAGCCTCCCAATGACATTTCCTATGGGCATTGTATGCCTGTCTATAGCCGCCTACTGTCCCACCCCCTGTACAGCGTAATGGTCAAAGGATTTGCTGGGCGATGCGTGCCAATACCAGACCCAGCAGCCTTTTAGACAACAGTAATGTAGATCATCTGTTTTTAAACCACACTGAAGTTTAACACTGTATGTCCAGCCTGTGATGCAGCTGCAGCGTTCACCAACCAAACAGGAACATCTGTATATAGCTTAAGATGCCATAATTGTGAGTGGCTGTGTTTCAGCTCGTAGAGCAGGTCATCTAAAGTCTGAATGTCGGTGGATTGATCCCCGTCCAAGGGAAGCATCATTTGCTGATGCTTCCTATGTGTAGGCTCAGGTAAATGAGCAATGGTGTTGTAGAAGTACCAGCCCGTTTACTGTGTTTAGAGAAAACTGCTCACTTCTGCAACAATAGGACATTTTTGAACTTTTCACCCAGTAAAAAGGTTTGTGTTAAGCTGGGCTTCAGTTCAGGAACAACTAAGAACATTAAGAATGATTCTCTACAGTTCGAGTCATTTAGTGTGTTGTTTGCATCTGTGGGTACCAAATAATACTGAGCTTGTGTCGCGCTGTCCTTACCTGCTCAGTGAAAGTCTGCAGAGTTTAAGTAAACATGCTTAGCGTTAATGTGTGTAAGTGACCTCAGAGCTGTCCAGGACTGCAGAATGTGGCTGTTCATGCTCCCTCGGGCTGTTGCATTACACCTACAACTCAGAGGAGCCCACATTTATTAGCAAAGCAGGCTTTTACAGAACAGGGGTACATCTCTGCAGAGAGATGGCAGTGGGCTGTTTTTATAGCAATTAGTGCAAATGGGCCTGTTTACACTGCGCAGGATTCCTCTGTGAAGCCGGGTCGCAGACGTGCCACTCTGTAGAGCCGTGGGGGCCAAAGACTGGTTTACATTGCTTTTCTTGCACTTGGCAGTGACAGAGCTGTGTGAGAAAGAGGCAGGAGAGTGCATATGAGATTTCTGTGTGCTTGAGAAAGCCTTCTTTATACAACCTATTTCATAGTTTGATGATTTAGCAGCAACGCTATGGGCCCTGGGATAGTAACAGGGACCAGGGATTGTCTGGCTGCCTGTTTCAAAGTCTGTGTTGGGTTCAGCTTTTTGGGAGGTCCTCAAACTAACCACGGGCACAGAAAACGAGTGGGAGTGCACCAAAAACCCAGTGGGAGGTGTGAGGGACAGAACTGAAAATGTTAGCATCGACAAAAATACAGGAAGGCAGCAGACAGGGAGAGAAATGCCTGCTGTAAAGTGTTACAACTGTGCGACCACAGGTTGCTGTTCCCCACACTCACACCCACTCCCACCGTGTGTCACACATCCGGGCTTCGTCTCAGACCTGATAGCTGACAGCTGTGGACTCTATGACAGCCAGCAGCTTGGTCGGTGCATTAGATGCTGAGACACACTTTGCCCTTCTCTAAAATACAGGCTGTAATGTTAGTCACCTCAAAGCACTTTATACTGCAATGTAAAGACCCCACAGTATTAAAGAGAGAACCCAGACAATTAGACAGCCCCTTATGAGCAGCACTTGGTGACAGCAGGAAGGTAAAACTCCCTTTTGACAGGAAGAAACCTCTGGCAGGCTCAGGCAGAGGCAGCCATCTGCCATGACCGGTTTGGAGGGAAAGAGTAGCATAGAGATCGAGCACAAAACACAAGCTACAGGGAAGAGAAGGCGAAAGTCAATAATGCGAAACAGAGCAAGACTGTACATGCGTGAGGAGTGGCATATTAACATGTCGGTATGTTGCTCTTGACACCATAAATTGTGCTGTGTAGCTGTGTTCAAATACTCTACTGATCCATATATGGCATAACCCTGCCTGCTGGTATGAAGCTGGCTCTCCTGAGGGTAAGAATTCAGTGCGCTTCAGAGGAAAAGTTCACCTGAGTTTGGAAATCAACAATTAAGCACAGCTCATGTTAGAGCTCTTACTATAAGGACAGATCTCACCATTAGTTGTTGGGTGGAGGCTCTGTGAACCCACTGCGAGTACACGAGCACAGCGAGACTTTGAGAAGGACCGAGCTAAGAAACAAAGAAAAGGACAGCCTGATACGTTCACACAGCGCCCCATCTGGTTTCAGCTCAGCGAGACTGAGATTTTCACAGGACAATGAGGCAAAGCGTACAGATCTTTGTAAGCAGAGTGATGGAGTTCAGCATCTTCTAGCATGTGTGACAGACCTGTACCATAAATGGCTTGGAGCTCGACTCCAGCGAACAGCGAGCAGGTGAGGGAGCTGCTCCAGGTGATGAGCCAGCTGGAGACTGTGCAGACATCGTAGATCGTAGTCTTCAGTGTGTGTGTGTGTGTGTGTGTGTGTGTGTGTGTGTGTGTGTGTGTGTGTGTGTTCCAGTGCCATCCCTTTGGAGAGGAGGATACTGACTATGCTGCAGTGGCTTCACCTCCCTGAAGGAGAAAGGTGAGCTGTATGTTTGATTGTGTTACATCTTCTTACCTTCCTTTTCATTTTCTTTGACATTTGGAACTGCTTGTTCCCTCTTTAATTAATCGAGACAGAGAAAGTGACACTGATGTAAAGTAGAATAGCTCCATGCAGTGGATACGTACCACAGCGTACCACAGCGGGACCCTCAGTTCATCGAATGTCCAAAACAAACCGTTTTAGCTCCTTTGAGTCCTTTAAATGAGCTTTCTTCTGATTGGCTGCCACTTGTGCATAAGAGTTCTCTGATGTATATCTGAGGGATATCTGCTCTTGCTGACATCATAAAGTGCCAAGTGTGGAAAGCTTTTCAAGCAGTCTGAAACCGGGGCTTTCAGCTCACGGGTTTCATGGTTTGTTTAGCTCCTCCCCAAACTTGAAATTTGCCTGGATACCTTTAAAGGATGACAGGATGACTTCACTCTCTTCTTGCCATTTTCTTTTCTTTTCCTTGCCAGTTTGCCTCACTTTGTTACAACCTAAATTAAGTAATAAGAGCTACAGTTACAGATTTTGACCAAAAAGCCTGTGACCTTAAAGAAGGAAACATCTACGCAAACATCGTTATTATCAGCCAACGTTAATATAATGTTCTAGCACTTTAAGCTCAAACTAAGTGTGGAAACAATCGTTTTTCATTTAAATAAAAGTTGGAGTCATTTCTCCATTCAGTGCTCATTTCTGTTGCTCTGCTTAACGAGCTGGTGAGTAATGCTGGCTGAAGGTGAGTTTGCCTGATAGCTAAAAATGAAAAAACAACAAGTTTTAACATCACCTAAATAACATAGCAGTCGGTGGCATTGGTTATATCTGTTTGTTGTCAGTATCCGGCCAATAACAGTATATTAAATAGTTGTTTTTTGGGTTATTTCTTTGCTAATTGTTACCTGTTAAACAGCTCAGGAGAAGGGTGTGCAGTAAAACCTATTTTTCTATGTGAGATATTCACCATGTTGGCAGCTGGATCACAAGAGTCCAAACCAGCCTCTGGAAACTTTATTTCTTGATGTTACTTCCACTAGAAGTCGACTTTGACTCACCTTTTGTTGCAGGCCTTATGTTTACGCCATGCACTCTGAGCAGCCGGACATATACGCACACAAAACGGGGCCCATGAGCACTGATGTAAGTACTCTGTATCTGCACAAACGTCTTGTGGCATGTTTGTGGAAAGCATGCAGTAAAGGAACATCCAAAATGTTTGTTTGGAGGATGACTCGCTCTGTGTGCTCTAGCTGAACATCTCTCTGAGGATGGTTGACAAAATTATTGGCCAGCTTATGGATGGACTCAAGCAGATGAAACTGCACCGCTGTGTCAACATCGTCCTGGTCGGGGATCACGGTACGGACACACACACACCAGCACAGGTGTGTGCGGAGGTATTACATGCTTGAGGACTGCAGGCATGTTCAGCACGCACAGCAGCATCTGTGAAGCAGAAGCTTATACAGAATAACATTGCTTCATTCCAGTTGCGTGACTACCAGTGACTAAGACACAGGGCTAACGGTGGAACACAGATTAAATACGCACAGGGAAGGTCAAGTGAACGCAGGTGATACACATTAAAACAGTTAATGTAATCACCTGAGACAGATAACCAGCCGAAGATCTGAACTCTTCAGGAATCATTCACATTAGTTCTTGTGAGGAAATGAAATAACAGTGGACACTTTTGCCTTCTGCTTGCTGTGTGTAAGCCACAGTGAACGAGCAGTACATGCTGTATTCAGATTGAAAGGAGGAGTGGGGTGAAGTTGCTCATCAACTGCAGACCAGCAGCTTAAATAGCGCAGCCTATACAAGTGGAAGAAGTGATTGTATGTTCCTCTCCTGCATTTGTAATTTTGATCACTTGAAATGAACAGTCTCTAATTTTTATGTTAGTTTACAAAACTTACAAACTCAGCAGGGGTCAAAACATTATTTCGCTCACAGCTAATTAGACGTGTAGAGGACATTAAAAGCCGTCAGCTGATGGGACCTAGCAATTACATCAGCTGATCTTAACCTTTCACTCTGACCAACACACTAAAGTTTCCCACATTAAATGTTATATCACGTAGCTACAGCTGAGATATGTATGGTGACAATAATAATCAGGGCAGGTAAGTTTCCACCAGGTTTACTTACAATCTTTAGTCCAGTGATTAGAAACCGGACCCAAACTGGAATGAGCTGTTGGAGCATGAACTTGGTTTTTGGCTTCAGCTGCTCACATTCCCACATGTTCACAGGTATGGAAGAGGCCCACTGCGATCGCACCGAGTTCCTCAGTAACTATATGACCAGCGTTGATGACATCATCCTCGTCCCTGGGTCCGTAGGCAGAATACGCTCCAGACAGCCCAACAACAGGAAATGTAAGAAGTCAAGTTGGCGTCTTTGTTGTGTTTCTTTTCACTCTTATTCTCACTTTTGTTCAGCAAACATGAAAAAATAACTGTGGTTGAGAAATAAGTGTCTCATGTGATCTCACTGGGAGTGTACGCAGTCTCTCTTAGTGAATAAGTCAGTAAAGTTTATTTAGAAAGTACTCTGCACAGGCTAGGAGTCACAAAGTGCTGAACATCAAAGTAGAAAAAATAAAGATGAAAATGACGGTAACATCCAGTCGAGACACAGAAAAAAAGTAAAAGGTGGTTAAGTAAGAAGTTCCAATCAGTCCAAGTCTCAACAAAGAGCCTGTTGAAACAGGGAGGTTTAGATCTGCTTCGAAGGACAGAGTCAGCTAATCTGAGCTGTCACAGGATCCACAGTCTTAGTGCCACAGACTGCAGAGAGCCTGTGATCAAACAGTGCGAGCAGCAGTTTGTGTAGTGGGCAGCCTTGAGCCGTTCAGTGCGTCATATGTAAGTACAAGAATTTTATAATGAATCTTCAGGGAGCCGATGTAAAGGATATAAAATAGGAGTGATGCAGGTTTGCTACTAGAATGGCTGCAGCTTTTAATATTGCTCAGAAACGTGCAAGAAATTATTTATCTGGGCAGGTCAACAGGACATCACAGTAATCTAAGCACGATGACACAAATGCAAGAATTATTTTCTCCAGTTCAGCCGCGGAGACCATGTGTCGTAGTTTAGAAATGTTCCTTAAAAGAAGGAAATGGGATCGAGAGAAAGATTTTAGCCACAGAGGAATAAAAGAAGAAGCAAGATGAATGATTTCACGATACAGCAGAGCTGTAATCATGGTCTCAGCTGTGTTTACATTTAGAATGAGGTCAGTGCTAAAGCTCCGGTCACGTATCCAGGTTAAACGATGGAGTAGGGTGCACAGCCTGCCCAACTGGTGACGGTTAAAGACCTATAGAGCTGAATGCCAGCTTACAATATATATCTCCTAAAGTGACAGTTGTAAATACATTGAATTAGGTTGAGAGCTAAAGGAAGAATGCAGAAAGAAAATAACAATGGGCCCAGAATTGAAGCTTTAGGTTAGAGAGGCAGTGTTACGGTGCACACTGAACGCGACAGACGCGACCAGAGCATCAGGTTTACATGTAAAGTCAATGGAGGAGCGCGATGAAGCGCGACTGGGGGTCCCGCGAAAATTCAGAAGCAGATTTGCGTCGCGAAAACGAGCAAGTAGCACGACTGACGCGTTTGAAGTGCGAATAGAAATACGCGCGGCAGTTTGTGTGGTGCATTTTGTTCATTCACGCGTATCGCATCTACCGCGAATCTGAACTCCAGCTTCAAGTCGCACTGCGACAACCAATCAGGAGCCTGGTGACGTGATGCTCTGACCTAGTTCAGAATCAGAATCAGAATCAGAATCAGAATACTTTATTGATCCCTGGGGGAAATTATTTTTTGTTACAGTGCTCCATTTTAAACCAACATTAAGACAAGACAGACAATACGCTAACTAAGAATAGTACAATATATACATATATATACATACATACATACATAAGTCACTTATAAATAAATAGTTGGAAAAGAAACATGTGTAGTTGTAGCAGCAAACAGTGTGTTAAGTGGATGCGTTGTACAGGGAGATGGCCACAGGCAGGAATGATTTCCTGTGTCGTTCAGTGGTGCATCATGGGTAATCTCAGTCTCTCACTGAACGAGCTCCTGTGACTGACCAACATGTCATGGAGTGGGTGGGAGGTGTTATCCAACATTGTCTTTATCTTGGACAGCATCCGCCTCTCCGACACCACCTTGAGGGAGTCCAGCTCCATCCCCACAACATTGCTGGCCTTACGGATCAGTTTATTAAGTCTGTTGGCATCTGCGACCCTCAGCCTGCTCCCCCAGCATGCAACAGCATAGAGGATCGCACTGGCCACCACAGACTCATAGAAAATCCTCAGCATTTTCTGGCAGATGTTGAAGGACCTCAGTCGCCTCAAAAAATAGAGACGACTCTGGCCCTTCCTGTAAAGTGCTGTGGTGTTTTTAGCCCAGTCCAGTTTATTGTCAATGTGTACTCCAAGGTATTTATAGTCCTCCACAATGTCAACACTGACCCCCTGGATTGAAACAGGGGTCAAGTGTTTCCTGGTCTTCCTGAAGTCCACGATCAGTTCCTTGGTCTTTGCCACGTTGAGCTGCAGATGATTCTGCTCACACCACGTGACAAAGGAGTCGACCACAGCCCGGTACTCTGTCTCATCATCCCTGCTGATGCATCCAACCACTGCAGAGTCATCAGAAAACTTCTGAAGATGGCAGGTCTCTGTGCAGTGGCTGAAGTCTGTGGTGTAGAGGGTGAAGAGGAAGGGGGAGAGGACAGTCCCCTGTGGTGCCCCTGTGTTGCTAATCACCTTGTCAGACACACACTGTGGGAGACGTACATATTGTGGTCTTCCTGTCAGGTAATCAACAATCCAGGACACCAGAGAAGCATCCACCTGCATCGCTGCTAACTTATCACCCAGGAGGGTCGGCCTGATGGTGTTGAAAGCACTGGAAAAGTCAAAAAACATGACCCTCACAGTGCTCGCCGGCTGGTCCAGATGGGTGTAGACACGATTGAGCAGGTAGATGATGGCGTCCTCTGTTCCGAGACGAGGCTGATAAGCGAACTGAAGGGGATCCAGATGTGGTCTTACTATGGGTCGCAGCTGGTCCAGGATGAGCCTTTCCAGGGTCTTCATGACGTGGGAGGTCAGTGCCACGGGCCTGTAATCCTGGGGGCCACTGGGACGAGGCGTCTTTGGTACAGGGACGAGGCATGATGTCTTCCACATCACCGGGACCCTCTGCAGACTCAGACTCAGCATAAACAGTTTATGAAAGACTCCACACAGCTGGGGGGCACAGGCCTTGAGGACAAGGGGACTCACTCCGTCTGGTCCAGCAGACTTGCCTGAGTGAAGTCTCCTCATTTGCATCTCAACCTGGTATTGAGTGAAGGTGATGGGTGGGGAGGGGTGTCAGGAATCTCACAGGAGGCAACATGTGAAGAGAGAGGCTGGCACAGTGGTGTGGCTCTGGATTCCAGGCTGACTGCAGGTGAGGTTGTGGGGGTGGGAGCAGACACTGTGGTGTCGAATCTATTGAAAAACAGATTCAACTCGTCGGCTCTATTCTCACCTCCCTCAGCTCCCCTGCTGTTGGTTGGCCTGAATCCAGTGATGGTCTTCATGCCCCTCCACACCTCTCTCATGCTGTTCTGCTGGAGTTTCCACTCCAGCTTCCTCCTGTAATTGTCCTTAGCCTCTCTGATCTTGTCCTTTAGTAACACCTGGACCTTCCTCACCTCCTCTTTGTTGCCCCCTCTGAAAGCCCTCTTCTTCTTGTTGAGGAGGGCTTTGATGTCCTTAGTCACCCACGGCTTGTTATTTGGGTAACAATGAACAGTCTGAGCTGGAACAATGGAGTCGGTGCAGAAAGTTATGTAGTCTGTGATACACTCAGTAAGCCCATTGATGTCCTCGGCGTGAGGCTCACAGAGTGTTTCCCAGTCGGTCACCTCGAAACAGCCCTGTAGTTCCGCTATTGCCTCCTCTGACCATCTCCTAACAGTCCTGGTGGTCACAGGTTCCCTCCTCACAATTGGCACATAGCGGGGGGTGAGGTGAATCAGGTTATGATCTGACCTACCAAGTGGGGGGAGGGAGGAGGAGCTGTATGCATCCTTGACGTTAGCATACAGTAAGTCTAAAGTTTTCTCTCCCCTGGTGGGACAGTCCACATATTGTTTGAATGTTGGTAGTGTATTGTCCAGTGATACATGGTTGAAGTCACCCGAGATCACAATAAAGGCACTCGGGTGCTGAGTCTGTAGCCGAGCTATGGCAGAGTGGATAGTGTCACATGCAGCTGTGGGGTTAGCAGAGGGGGGAACATAAACAGCCACCAAGATGACGTGAGAGAATTCCCTGGGTAAATAATACGGCCTGAGTCCAACAGCACACAGTTCAGTGTCCGGGCAACAAATCCTTTCTTTGATTGTTATGTTGGCAGGGTTACACCACCGGTTGTTAACTAAAACAGCAAGCCCACCTCCTTTACGCTTACCGCTAGCGATGCTGTCCCTGTCCGCCCGAACAGTGTGGAAGCCTTCCACGGAAGCATTCTCATCGGGAATGACCTGGTGCAGCCATGATTCGGTGAAACACATCAGGCTACACTCTCGGTATTCCCTCTGACTCCGTACCAGTGCTGAGAGCTCGTCGATTTTACTTGCCAACGATCGCACATTTCCCATCACGATAGACGGCAGACACGGTTTAAACCTCCTCCTCGCTTCGAGCCTCCGCTGTCTCACCGTCACCTTTTTTCTTCTCTTCTGTCCTTGACCTCTGCATCCCCGATGTGTTTTCCTCCAAATTTCAGCTGGTACTTCTGCGGGCACTTCTGCGGGCCTGGCCAGCGAGCCGGCCGGCATCAGGGCGATCAGCTGATCTCTGGAGTAAACAGTCCGTGCGTGTAGGAGATGTGCCGCGGTCCCGTTCCATGATAAAAGTAACAGTTCCACGGCCACCAGAAGAACAAAAACTCTCTCAATCCACATGATTGAGTAAGAGATAGAAAACGGAGGAAAATAAAAGTCAGAAAAAAAAAGAATACGTAAGAAAAAAGAGCTAAACTAAGAGAAAGCAGGAGCGACTGTAACAGGCTGCACGCTTGTTGGCGCATGCGCACTTGATTTGGGGTTCAAAGTGGCGGGCCCAGCCAAAGCCATTAACAATATGGAGGAAAGGCTCATCAACGCCGTAGGAAATCACCCGGAGCTGCTTTCTCCACCGAGAAGTTTAATATTATTTCAAATAACGTTTTGTAATGACTAATGTCTCAGTTCTACTACACAGCAAATACTGGCACACAACTTGAAACATGTAGAATTGATTTCATATCATACTAATGAAAAAATAAACTACTATATAGGAACATAGTGGAGACCGATTATTTAAGAGAATAAAGAGAGGTTAGTTTATTTTGGAGGCAAGCTCCATTTATTAAGAAAACTTTAAAAAGGCAGGAACGCTCTTTAGAGGTTTGTGAGTGGCTCAGAGCCGTTGTGGGGACGTCACTGGGACTTCAAATGAGCATATATTAACACAGATATCAATAAAGGACTACCGTGTTAAACACACCGCAGGCAGATGAACAGGCGCTCTGCAGGTGGGATTGAATGCCTGTAGTTGGTGTTTAGGCGGCGATGCTGGGACCGACGCGGGACAGCAGCTCCTCAAACTGGGCGAGTGAAAGACAGTGGTACCGCTGAAAGCGGTCGTCATCCAGACGCAGCTCCTGGAGCTCACCAAACTGCTCACGCCTCTGGAGGACCTGATGGACCCAGGTATGGCGAGGACGTCCTTTACGCCGCTGCTCTCCACAGTAAATAGAGAAGGGAGACTCTCTCTTCAAACGATCAACAGCTGCCATCTTGCAAACATACCGTCTGGCACTACTTCCTCCCACATTTCCGCTTCACGCGCGTGAAAATTGCATATTTTGAAGCGCGACCAATTCGTGTTGGTCAATGTGCACGCGACCAGCTAGGGATGTCTATCATGTTCGGTGTGAACGCACCGTTAGGGGTTCAAGAAGGCCCCTGCACCTCCTGAAGCTCCGTTGTTCCACAAAAGGAAAAAACAACCTCTGTCCCCACTGCTGTTCTGCATAGGCCTGAACCCCCTCAGTGAGATCATTAACAAGACTGGCTACGGATACCGACTACGGAACGGAGCAGTTGTCAGCCACCTCCTGTACATGGATGACATCAAGCTGTATGCCAAGAGTGAACGAGACATCGATTCACTGATCCACACTACCAGGCTATACAGCAATGACATTGGAATGTCGTTCGGACTGGAGAAGTGTAGTCGGATGGTAACAAAGAGAGGGAAGGTAGTCAGAACTGAGGGGATTGAACTACCAGAAGGCAACATTGCAGACATAGAGGACAGTTACAAGTACCTGGGGATCCCGCAGGCAAATGGGAACCATGAAGAGGCCGCTAGAAAAGCTGCAACCACCGAGTACCTGCAGAGGGTCAGGCAAGTCCTGAGGAGTCAGCTGAATGGTAAGAACAAGATCCGGGCCATCAACACGTACGCCCTGCCCGTGATCAGGTACCCTGCTGGGGTAATAGGCTGGCCAAAGGAGGAGATAGAAGCCACTGACATAAAGACAAGAAAGCTCCTTACCATGCATGGAGGGTTTCACCCCAAGTCCAGCACCCCGAGTCTGTACGCTAAGCGGAAGGAAGGGGGCCGGGGACTGGTGAGTGTCAGCACCACAGTCCAGGATGAGACAACGAACATCCAAGAATACATTGGGAAGATGGCCCCAACTGACCGAGTGCTCAGTGAATACCTCAGGCAGCAGAAACCCAAGAAAGAGGAGGGAGACGAGGAACCATCATGGAAGGACAGGCCCCTGCACGGTATGTACCACCGGCAGATAGAGGGGGTGGCTGATATCCAGAAATCCTACCAGTGGCTGGACAAAGCTGGACTGAAAGACAGCACAGAGGCACTAATCATGGCAGCACAAGAACAAGCTCTGAGCACAAGATCCATAGAGGCTGGGGTCTATCACACCAGGCAAGACCCCAGGTGCAGGCTGTGTAAAGATGCCCCAGAGACAATCCAGCACATAACAGCAGGGTGCAAGATGCTAGCAGGCAAGGCATACATGGAACGCCATAACCAAGTGGCCGGCATAGTGTACAGGAACATCTGTGCCGAGTAGAACCTGGAAGTCCCGAGGTCAAAATGGGAGAATGGTGTGGGTGGTGGAGAATGACCGAGCTAAGATCCTGTGGGACTTCCAGATACAGACGGACAAAATGGTGGTGGCTAACCAACCGGACATAGTGTTGGTAGACAAACAGAAGAAGACGGCCGTAGTGATCGATGTAGCGGTTCCGAATGACAGCAATATCAGGAAGAAGGAACACGAGAAGCTGGAGAAATACCAAGGGCTCAGAGAAGAGCTCGAGAGGATGTGGAGGGTGAAGGTAACGGTGGTCCCCGTGGTAATCGGAGCACTAGGTGCGGTGACTCCCAAGCTAGGCGAGTGGCTCCAGCAGATCCCGGGAACAACATCGGAGATCTCTGTCCAGAAGAGCGCAGTCCTGGGAACAGCTAAGATACTGCAGGACCCTCAAGCTCCCAGGCCTCTGGTAGAGGACCCGAGCTTGAAGGATTGACCACCCGCAGGGGCGTGCTGGGTGTTTTTTTTATTTTTTTATTTTATTTTTATTAATTTGTGCATTTGTTTTTTTCTAGCAGTGTTTTAATAGTTCTGACTGCTGAGTTAAAATGAGCACTTGTTGCTTTTCCCATTTACTGCTTGTTGTTGCTTACTTTTGCTTACTTTGCTTACTTGCTTTGTTTTAGTTTGTCAGGACCATCTTTCCTTATAGTGCTAGCAAACATTCACAGTGACACTTTAATTACCAGGCTTGTAAAAGGCCTTTGAATCTAATGGGCTAATTTTTCACTCGGCCTCATTGGATCTGTGAGGAGTTCTCCTTACTGATGTCGGTCGTCTCTACAGCAGACTGGTGTTGACACTATGAGCCTGCACATTGCAAACAAATGTTTGCGTTTGCAATCTCATCTTATGCATTCTTTTTACTCCTCGTTGGAAGAATGGAAGTTTTCACAAACCAAGATCAAAACGTCCAGTCTGCTGTAAAAATCATAATAAAAAGACACGTTTTTACATGTGACATAAATAACACTACTTCTTGTTGTTCGTCGCCATCAGCACAGGAAAAGGAGTGGACTCAAAAACAACTTTACGTCCAACGACTTTGTGACAGAAGGAGTCAGTTCGTTGCCATCGGGGCGCAGCAGTTTCGCCTAAGAGTGCAAAGGATGCGCTGGCTTGAGATCCACATTGGAAAGCATGATGAAAAGACTCAGTGTCTTAGAAGCACGCCCTCCTGAGAGTGCTGCCAGACGTCAGTTTGGAACAGGCAGAGGCTCATCTCCAACACCCAGAGAGGACCCACTTCTCCTCCCCTCATCTACAGCTCCGGTGCCACTGTGCCAGTTCCAAGAGTAGACGGGTGGCTTTTTCTCCCAGTCACGTCTCTATCTCCTTCACTTATCATTCCTTATCTACAGCTTCACCCGTCCAACATCTGACACTCGCCTGCCAGTTAAAGGAATGAAAGAGACTTCGATGATATTTGGAGTAAATCAAAACTGAACCGGAGTGAAGCCCGAGTGAAAACAGGAGTTACCGTGTGTACAGCTGAGGTTTCCCAGTCTGCCTGAACAGAGGCACAAAATCCAGAACCAAACAAATGAAAGACTTAGGAGTCCCAGTAAATGCATACTGTCACATTTAAAGGCTAGATAACGCTGTATTTAGTCATTTCTACAGTTTATGGAGTTTTCATAGTTCATAGTTTTGTATTCTCACCAACTTTGTGAACACAGTAACTCAAGAAAGAAGTCACGTAGGATTTTCAAAACGATACCATAGGCGCGTCTACTTGGAGGCTGAGGGGTAGCGCTGGTCACCACCAGTATTTTTAAATAAAGCCTTTGTATCCAAATAATGTCTCTGCATTTGGTTTATTATGTGATTTTCCCAAAAAAGGAATTCTCTTCAATATTTACTGGCAGAGTGACGGTGACACCGGGCAGCAGGAGCAACAAGTTAGAGAGCAGGCTTGTATATGTGCATGAAAAGGCTCCATGTTAATGCTAATGATGTGTTTGCTCTCACATGTCGTCCCCGTACCTTCCTGTGTTTGAACAGTGGACTCTGCATAGAAATTAAAACGGCCCAACTCCAGTCAGCTACAGTTGTTACTCGTCTGTGGAGTTTAAGCATCAGAATAAGAGTTTTATTATGGAGTCATAATGTTGAATTGTGTTAATGACAGTTACAGGTGTATATAGATATAACATAAATCTTTCCCATCCTACCCCGATTCTGGCTGTCTGTATCCGTGTCAGAGCTTAAAGAGATGGGGGGTTTGTAGGCAGACACACACCTTGGATGGGTCGGAGTCTGACACAGTATGCCCTTAAAATGATTATTATTACTTTGCAATGCTTTTCACTTCTGTTCATTGTTGTTTTTCAGATGACCCCAAAGCTGTTGTGGCCAATCTAACGGTAAGTGCTGTTTTTAAGATAATATAGGACCATGTAAGCTGTGTGGAGACAGAAAAGCATGTGCAGTGTTGTAAAAGAAAAAATGATGCAAAGAAAGAAACATGAAATAGACGTGTCAGTCAGCTCTCTGCTCGTGTTGTTTTCTTGTAGTGTAAGAAAGCAGACCAGCACTTCAAAGCGTACTTGAAGCAGCACCTGCCAAAGAGACTGCACTACGCCAACAATCAACGCATTGAGGATGTCCATCTCCTGGTGGACAGGAAGTGGCACATTGCCAGGTACAAGAGGAACACTTAAACATGAAATACTCATACAGTACACACGAGGCAAACTTGAACACTCTAAGAGGAAGATTGTTTTTCCTGACTCTTATCCTGAAAACACAACTGGATCAATTTGACATACGCAGCTTGTTTTAGGCTGATGGACATTTTTTAATGAGAATATAATGAGCAGCAAAAATCTACGTAATGTCATAAAACGCTGTGTGAGACATGGCAGGATCCAAAACTCACAAACAGCTTTACTGCTGGATTCACTAAATACTGGGACCACAGAACACACAGCAGCAGCAATGAGGGAGACACAGACGGTATGCAGAGAGGTCAGACCTGGGAACAAGATCTAACTCACAAGACAGGGACAAGCTGCACAGGACAGGAGACGGTCAAAGCAAAGCAGCAAGTATCACGAGGAGTTTAATAAAAGAGCAGTTAATATTTTAGAATAAAACCTACAGAGCATCAGATAAAATGGTTGATAAATCTTGTTTGATCGGACATCTTTAGGCTAGATATGGGATGAGAACTGTGTCCGTCCTCCCGTGGGCAGATACCGTCTCACATGACGCCCCACCTGACAAAGGACACGTGGAACTTCAGCTCAGGGTTTAAATCCGACTTGATCAGTTCTCTCAGTTGAGTCAGGGCACACAGTAATCACATACTCACTACAGAACTGTGAGGATGAATCTCCCTCAGCCTGCGTGGAAATCATGAAGAAGGTCCTCCTCAAAACAATTTCTTTGTCAGATGTCATCCAGGTAATAGTTTGGCAGAAATCCTTCTTCACGGTTTTAATGCTTATTTCTCACAGTGGTTATAGGTTGTAGAGCAGATAAAACAAAATGTTATTACCCATAGATTGTATATAAATGGATCCACATGAGGACAAATTATTAGTGCCTCTATTAAATTTAAAGTGTGTATCAAAAAAGTCCCATTTTACAAAAGAGCAACAGATTTTTAACAAAGCATTATTAGACATATGTTTTCTTTTGAAAGCATGAATTATTTCTATTCACACACAATAACAGAATTATTTCAGGAAAAGATGGCCAGGCTGGTTATTATTAGCCACTTGGAAAAACAGAGCTGTGCAATGATGTGCTTTATAAGACTCAGCTTGTAAAATCAAGTTGAGGGTCATCTATCAATTTACACACAGTATATAAAAATCTGCAAGTGTTTGAGCCGTCACCTGTGAAAGCATCATGACACAAACCAAGGAAAAATATTTAGAGTCGGGAAAAAGAAATTGTTGATCACTAAGCAGAAGATGGAGATACAGAGTTATCACAAGTGTCAAGAACTGGAGTAAGAAGTATCATCAAGCCACACAATACAGAACGAGCCTGATAGAGGTAAGAAGCAAAGATTTCAACGAGGTGTCCGATGACCCCAGAACAACTGCCAAGACACTCGGCAATGACTTAGCCAAATCAGGAATTGTAGTCTCATAGGAGACCGTCACTGGAATCCTGAGCAGGAATGGACTGTGAGGTTGCAGAGTAAGCAAAACTGCAGAAGAGACACCATCAAGCCAGGCTGAAGTGTGCCCTGAAGAACCTGGAAAAAGATTATGCATATTGGAAGCATGTCCTTTGGTCAGATGAGACAATACTAGAGCTCTTTGGCCACAGAAATGTTGCTTGTGTTTGGAGAAAGTAGGGAGTACAACTATAGAGCACCGTCCCCACAGTGAAATATGATGGTGGGAGTATTATGCTGTGGAGATGCTTTAATGTTTTCTGGATTGGGAATCTGGTCAAGGTAAAAGGAATCATAAAGAAAGTAATCTGGGTCCTCATGTTAAAGAACTCTAGATCTCCAGAAGACCAAAGTGAATGTTAATGACTGACCTGCACAAAGCCCTCGAATCCCACTGAGAATCCCACAGTGGGGTGAACTGAACACCAACAGGACCATGCCAGAAGACCATCAAATCTGGAGGAGCTTGAGAGATTCTCCTAAGACGAATGGGCTGGAGTGACAGCAGGCCTTTATCAAGCAAGAAGGATACACAACCGACTCGGGAGGGGCTGTTAGTTTTTTGTGAAATAACTGTTTCTGTGTGCAAAGCGAGATCATCTAAGCATCCAAAATAAAACTAAAATGTTTATTTGGTCCATATTATGGTAAAAAAGGATATTTAAACATGGCATGCTTTAGTGGTGCAGGTCCAGGTAACACAGGTGGGCAGTTAAATGGTTAAATGACAACAGAGTGAAAAGAATAGTTGACCAGTGAGATGCTACAGATGCTGTTTTGTGCAGTTATGAATATTCGTGGTGATTAAGGACTTATCTTTTGTGGCTTGCGTGCAGGTTTGAAAACCACATGTCTGAAAGATTGTGAGAATATCAACCTAGGCACAAGTAGTTAAGGTGTGTAGTGGATCTGTCTGCCAGTAACTGGAGAGAGACCAAGTAAAATCAAGCAGCCTGCTTACTTTAAAGGAGTTTTCATTTAGTTTGAATTTGCTGCTCCTGCTATCCAAAAAGCTGCTCTAACGTCGCGTACAGTTGGTGTTGATGTGGCGTTTTCAGCCCACCCAGCGCCGAGGCTTTTACTGCACATCTTGGACCACTTAAAAACACATTTTATGCCAACGTGCGCTGCTATCAACGCATCATTAACACATGCGGTGCTGAAAAGCTGTACGATGTGGCATCCCGAATCACACGCACACGGTAAAGAAAAAAAAACACGCTTGCATTTTTCAAAAGAGCAGCTGCTGAAAGTTTAATGAGGCTCTAAGATGAACTGTGACAGGCGTTTGATACAGAGCGGTGAAAAGTCTTACTGCAGCGATCCAGTGACAAAGAAAACGATGAAGTCATCCTGAGTGAAAGTGAAAACAAACCACAGCAGCTAACTCTGTGTGTGTGTGTGTGTGTGTGTGTGTGTGTGTGTGTGTGTGTGTGTGTGTGTGGGTGGGTGTGTGTACTTGCATTGGTCTCGTCTGTAACGCCACCTAACGTTAAGCTGTGGTACACTGCAGGACGGCCACTTTGTCTCACACACGGCTGCTAAATGAAAGAGATCTCTGAGGTTTGTGTGCAGCTCTGATAGGCAGAGCAGGCTAATCGTTGGCACTGCAGTGGAAGCAGAGGTACAGTGCTAACACACACTCTCATACACACACACACACGAGTGCAGGCACATATACGTTAGTGTCTGTGAATCTCAAACCAAAAACTGTTCACACCAAATGAAAAGATGTTTGTCTTGTTTCCCCCGTCATCTTGTCATTTACATTTTCGACGTGCCTGTGGCTTCAACCCCCCCCAACACACACACACGCACACACACACACACACACACACCCTTGAGTATATGACTGGGAGTACTGTTTTAATGGACATATGTCTGTGAAGGTTCTCAGTCATCCAGGTCATCGTAGTCAAAGGAGCTTGCAAAGCAAAGCGTCTGGACTTCTTTAAGTTGCTTGAAGACGTTTCACCTCTCATCCGAGAAGCTTCTTCAGTTCTAAGGTCAAATGATGGAGAGTCCCAGATTTAAACACAGTGGGAGTGTCCCCCCACAGAGGGACAAAAGGACCCCTGATGATCCTCTAATCACCTGACCCAAGGTGTGAAAACGGGTGTGGGTCCCAATCCACAGCATGTCTTTATCCTGTCTTCCTTCTCTCACCCCAACCGGTCGCAGCAGATGGCCCCGCCCCTCCCTGAGCCTGGTTCTGCCGGAGGTTTCTTCCTGTTAAAAGGGAGTTTTTCCTTCCCACTGTTGCCAAAGTGCTTGCTCATAGGGCTCATATGATTGTTGGGTTTTTCTCTGTATCTATGAAGCGCCTTGAGGCGACTTATGTTGTGATTTGGCGCTATATAAATAAAATTGAATTGAATTGAATTGAAATCAGCCAGGGTTTCGGGTGAGCTCATTGTGAAACCTGGCCCCACCCTATCATGTGATTTCCTGAGGTCAGATGGCCCAGGATGTGAGTGAGCGTTAAGGCATCTGAGAAGGATCTCAAAACTGGATTATAGATGGCAGACAGTTGGTGTCGTAAGCCCCGCCCCTCTGTAGGACATAAATGGCTTCTTTCACTCCTCTTTCAAACCATCTGTCCTCTCTGTCCAAAATGTGAACATTGGCATCCTCAAAGAGTGACCTTTGTCCTTTAGATGCAGATGGACTGCTGAGTCTTGTCCTGTGGAGGTGGCTCTTCTGTGTTGTGCCATGCGCTTGTGAAGTGGCTGTTTGGTCTCTCCAATGTGCTAGATTAAACTCCCCTAAAGAGAGCCCGTGAGGTTGCCAGACCTCTAGTGGAATGCGCACGCAAGGAGGCTGAAGGCCTCCTTGCGTGCGCAAGGAGGCTGAAGGCCCCTGCTAGTATAGGCCAGGGCAATTGGAGAGACGCTATTTAGACACAGGCTTTCCCGTATGTGGTTTAGCCCAGGACACGAACAGCTGGTCACTTTGTCTGACACTCTGGGTTCTGTCCATATAAATGCGCAGAGCACGGACTGGACACAAGGTATGCAGCCGCTGTTGCTCCTCTAAGGAGAAAGCGGTGGGTAAAAGGCCGGCAGTTCTATAGGGGAACATGTGCCGACAACCTTTGGGATGAAGGCGGGGTTGAGCCGCATACTGACCCTCATATTATCCGAGGAGAACTGAATGCATGGCTGATGCACTGAGAGAGCGTGGATCTCTCCTACATGCTTAGCTGAAGCTAAAGCAATTAATAGAGCCGTCTTCAAGGACAGAAATGGTGGAGAAGGCTTTACCCCTATCAATCAGGGCCTGAAGAAATGACAGAATCATTGCCACAGAGCACTGAAAAGGGATGGCCTGTGATTCTAAGCACCAGCTTTCAAACACACGCCACTTGTGCTCATATAGCGTCCTAGTAGACAATGGTATGAACACTGAATAGTGTCGATAACACTATGAGGGAGCCCCACTGTGTTCAGGTTAAACCACTCACAGGCCAAGCCCATAGAGCTAGCCTCTCTGGGTGGGGGTGGAATATT